CGAGTTCTCCAAAGCTAGCGTATCGAATTTAATGTATCCGTTGAAATATTCGCGACACCCCTTGCAATTTTTCCCTCAATCATCAGGGACCAAAAGTGATTTGGTGCGTCGAAAACTTTGAATATGATGAAAGAGACTACGTGACAAACCTTCCCTTCAAAGTTTCTGGAATTCGTGAAATGCAGTGTCACAAAATTTGACAGAAAAAGTTATTGTCTTGGAAACAATTGAAAATCACATCAGTGGAGTTTGGGATCAATTTCTGTCTAAATTCAAAATTAGTTGTTCTCGTTTTTGAAATATTGCAGTTTTACAGTCACTAACCCTTGGGTAGTGCGTAGTGGTGGGTTCCTTTTCATGGTACAGCAAAGTTGGACTTTGGGGGGGGGGGGGGCAGCGCATTCCAGTTTGACCCAGGGTCACTGAAATGCCCCCAGGTTGGGAAGGCCTAAATTGGGAAAAATCTGGGAGGAAATGTCTTTTTATAGTTTTCAAGGATTTCCCATGCAAATCCTATGCCAGGAATGCAGGAAAAAATACCACCCAGTGAGGGATTTTTGTTTCATTCAAAATTGTCTTCAGGGTTGCCAGGATTAGAAAAACATTTTGGACATTTTCCCAACTTAGGCCTTAGTATAAAGAAGGGTGTTTTTAAAATTTCTGCTGCTCAGTAATAGCACAATATTTTGATAAAATATACCAATGTTCCTGCTCAAGGGCTAAAATCAGCATGGCGTGTCTTACTTGAGGATACAATTTTTTTTTATTTACTAAAAAAAACCCCTTGTGCTTCTCTTGCCTTTCCAGTAAATATAGTAGACAGTTGGTTGACTCTCTCTCTCTACCACAAAATTCAAGGTATCAGAAATAAAATTGTGTTGGAGAGAATTCTATTGTAGAGAAATTCTATAAGGCCTATTGGGCACAATTGACCTCAATATAATTTGATGTTGAGTGTTTTAGTAAACAAATAAATAAAACAAGTAAATCAGTCCAGGACTGTACCGGGATTCCTTTTGGAATTCCCAAGTTAACGGAGTATATTGTATTTCAGATAATTACACAAATAAATGACTTAACAAGCTTGGGCTTGTAACAAGGATAACTTGATTAACACACAGCTGAACTGAATCTGAATCTGTTCTTGTAAAGGAAGCAGCTTATATTAACAATTACAACGCAGACCTTCACAAGGTTTTAATGTAGAAATGAGAAGGTGAAAAGCTATTGTCAAGGATGTTCCTGGCACTGAAATTTTGAGGAGGGAGAAACAGTTATGAGAATAAGGTAAATTAAAGTATTTTATTGTACATGGCGTGCATGCCCAACAAGGCATATGGAGAATGAGCCCTTTGGGGCCAGAAATGAATTTGTTAAACAGGGAAAATTATTGTAGATAATTTGATCTTTATTGCAGAGAGAAAGAGTCCACCTGTATCTGCAATGTGGTAAAGTTGCTGGGTGAAATTTTGCGATAGCCCAGGTCGGTGCTGGTGCATCTCATCCCACGCCCAACGAAGCACAACTCCGGGCCTTGCCTCTTACCCACATCTTTTCACGACCGCTTGGACGGAAAGCCCATTAATTTCCCCCTCCTTCTCAAGAGCCTTTCCCGCCGCTTTTCGTGGCCTTTCCTGGGCTTGTGGCTGAAACAAAAGACGTCGGGGGGAAATGGGAAGAAGACCTTTTGCCCACCCTACGGTTAATAGAATGATCCGTCCTTTTGTTTGCGCCTGTGTGTGTGTGTGTTGATCCCGTCGGTGAAGGATCCCAGAGAGAGACGCGCATCAATCAACAATCAAACTTTGTTTGCTCCCTGGATGGGTTGCGGACGGGTTTCACATGCCATCAGTTGCCTGTCCAGCAATTTCGCTCTCCTGTGGTGCTGGTGGGAATGCCAGGGTATTCTGGGATGTGTGTGCGTGTGTCTCTGCCTAAATGAACTACAGTCGAACCTGCATGGACAAAGCTACCACCATTTGCTTGTGAGGTTTCTGGTGGTTTAACAGTGTTGGAGGTTTATCAAAAAGGCAAAAATCATGTGAAAATTAGGTAGAAAAGGAAACATAATTCTGAGGAAGTGATCAAAATTACTCTTGGATGCCTGAATTAGATCCAGCTAAGTTTCCAAGAAGTAAATCATGTCTTCTTTGTGTTTTTTTTAATTTTCATTTTGAGAAACCTTTATTCAAGCCCATCTTTCTTATTTTATGAAGAGACTCCACCATAAAAGCTGCTTCATTGGTTCTTATTTAAATTTTAGCAGAACATTTTCTATTACCTGCCAGAAAGTCTTTCAAGCAAATTTTTTTCAAGTCCAAAAAACTTTTACAAAACTTTGGTCCTCAAAAATGTGTGATGGAAATTGCCAGTCTTCAGACCTAAAAAGGTTGGGGAACACTGCTCTGCACTATTTCATTACACTTATAAATTGATTCTGATTCATAACGAAAGCACCAAATTTTTTGCTTCCATTATAATGTATTTTTTCAATAACCCTATACAGTATAGGAATATGTGTGCACTTTTTAAAATTCATTTTCACACCAAAAGGACACATATTGCTTAGTTTTCTTACTGTGCAGTAGTTTTCTGTGCTTAAAAAATGTGGAGGACATATTCAATTTAATTTTCGAGGAATTTATCCAATGTTTTTCCCAGAACAGGCAAAAAAAATTACTTAAAAAATTAATTAAAAATTAATGTATATAATTACTCCCAGTATGAAAATCCTGCCCCATCCAAAATGATGTGTTTCTCTAAAAAAAATTACAACCGTATAATTTTCAAGAACTGTGGCCCTGGCTGCTGCGGTTCTACTTCAAAAGTCTTGAAATTCGTATTTCAACCATTTTTTACATCCAGAAAAATTGAAATATTGCTAATTCGATGATTTTTGTGTAACTTGTAATGTGTTTTTCGTACCATTTAAAATATTTGTTGAGCTGCGATAAATTGAGGGTAATCCGAATGCCCTTGGTAACCAGCAGTTCAAACCCAACAGTTCCATTAACTGGCTTCTTTAATTTCATTAATTTACCACCCATGTACATTTCTCTCTATATTTTTGAAATTTCGGGTCTTTCGGAGCAGATAGAGAAATTACTACATACGTCAAGGGATTTAAAAACCAATTCAGTAACGTGAATACATTCTCAGAAAGAACCAACAATTGGTCCAGGGCACGATGAACCATGGAATCTGACAGTTGAATTTTTTTTTGTAGAAAGTAAAAAACATGAAAAAAGAAGAGGACAAAACCACGTGGTGAAATGCGTGTTAGATTCGGGGGTGGGAAAGAAAGAAAGTCGGGAAGACAAGTTTCGATCCGTTCTTGGCATGCATGGGGTTCGCATAATGGCACCCCCGTTTTTCCGGTTTTCGGCTGCTGGTTTTCTTTTGTCGGGGGGGGGGGGGGGACACGAGTCATCAGAAATTCAATAAGGGGTAGGGAAACCCCCCATAGCACATCCTCCTGGCGAGATGAGAAACGTGCAGATAATCGAAGCCCTGCTGCTGGTAAGGAAGGGAAAAACCGCGTTGAATCCATTTCCTTTTCTCTATATTCCCTTCGGGTCCAACACAAATTTTTAATTCCACTTTCTGAAGGGACAAAAAATATATATACTGTATATTTAGAGTATTATGCTTTTTTTTAAAGAATTGAAGGCTGTTTGAATTGTTTCCTTGTCATTTGATTTATTCTCCTGAGGCTGGTCTTTTTTCTTTTTGCAAACTAATTGGCAAATTAATATGTTGTCTGTCCTGTTTAAGTGTGTCTCAAAACTCGTTAAGGATACCCCATTCTTGTGAATTGTTTTGACGTATAGTTGAGTCTTGATAAGTAAAACCTCCCTAAGTCAAATACCTCCCTCACTCAAAAGGACATTGCATGATAAAATTGCCAATAAATTACAGGAAAATTGACTTTTATTAGGCTTAATTGCAAGAAACAGATACCGTATTTCCAACCCTAAGATCTATGCAAGAAAAATTCTTCTATATTTCTTGGATCATTTTCCCATCCATTCAGCAAATTTTAAAAAATTGCCTATTTCATAGAGGGACTCTTCTTTCTTTGTGAAAAATGCTATTTTTTACAGATGTCAACATTTCAGTGTACTGAGCAGAGGTACACTATTCCATGCTCCGAATTTTCTTAATGAGTTGAAAAAATATTCACTGAATCAAATTCAAGTGGCAAACAATTTTCTTCATGGAATTCTGAAGAATATTTCTTCCATAAAACACCAATTACCAATTTTATAATGTAAGTCTATGGGAAAACTAGACTCAGCTTCAGGACACTTCAACTTAAGGACACTCTTGATGCACCATTTACATCTGTATCTGGGGGTCTCACTGTATTTCCTGTCTCAACTTGATGGGCAGCAAGAAAAATTTTCTGCATTGGTCAGATTTGAAAGTTGTTGCTTTTATCAGAAAAATCGTTACCAGTTTCTAATTTTTCTTGCTGTGCTGAAATTTTCACATTTTTAAAACTCATTTTCAGATTGTCAGCATTTTGACATTTTTAAAACTTATTCCTGATCTAAAACTTTCAAGGCGGAAATGGCTGATGAGCTTTTTTCTGTGTACAAAAAACTTTTGAAGTGGCCATCTTGAGTCGTAGAAAAATCTGAAGATGTGATAAAGAATTCTGGGAACAATTTCGCGGAATGTGATCAGCAGAATCGTGTTCTGGACGAACAAAAGAAAATACATGTAATGATGATGCTATCACCTCGTATATCCAATATATAAATATATACAGTTCAGTACCAATTTACAGTACTTTCGGGTCAGGACGTGACTTTATCGAAAAATCCGGCTCTTTCTTTCATTTTCAAGATGATATCGCCTGCTTGAAAAAATACCGGCAATTTTCTCTGCTGAATTATTATTTTTACTTTTTTGAAGGAACCCTTCGTATATAGCCGTTTATCAAATCCATTTCTGATGAAATATCAAACCTTTTGTCCTTTTCTTTGTTCTCCGCAGGAGGCGGCCCCGTGGGCAGTCTGAAGCGACAGCCGTTTTGGCAAGACGACGACAGCAGCAGCGGCAACCCGGGGTTTCTGGGACAGGGTTTCGGGGGTCGGGACTCCCAGTTCTCGCTTCGCAGGGCGTCCACGTCATCCGGAAGCGGTGGCGGCGGAAGTGGCGGCGGACAACACGGGAACTTCTACCTCGGGGCTCTTCACGATCCCAGTGGATCCGGGGTGAGGGGGATCCGCGTGTCTGGTTCATTTATTTATTCTTTTTTTTCGTCTCCTTTTTTTATGCTTTGTGAATGTATCTTTATACTTTTTTTTATCATTCTTGTCCTTCTCGTCGGATTTTCATACCTATATAGAAATATATGTATTAAAGATTTGCCACATTTCTTTCGGACAAGAAAGTTTACTTTTCGCCGACGCTGCCCCCTTTCCCCCCCCCCCCCCTCTCTTTTCTCCTGTTTATTTTTCAAAGTTTCTCACCAGTTTTGGCTGATTATGGGTTTATATCTCGGAAGTTTTCTGGGGAAAACCTGCTTATATATGCGGGTTGGATGTCGTCGTCTGGAAAAAAGTTGATTTGAGGTTCCTTTTTCTCTCGGATTCTCGCATTTTCACTTGTCGGTGCTACAATGGTCTTCGGATAAATATTTGAAGAAAAAATCTATCTGAAAGAATAACTATACAGTACGAGGCTGTTGTTTGCTTTGTTTCCAGAAAATACAGTAATTCAGTTATCGATATCCTGCAAAGAAGACTGATTTCTAGTCTTCGTTCTGAATCCAAAAAAGGAATCATCTTTTGGACATTGAAATGATTATAATAGCTTGTTTAGATTACAGTATACTTTTGCGAACAAAAAAGCCCCAAAAATATCCCAAGATAAATCGAGATTCTCATTATTGTGACGAAGTATTTAAAATATAATTTTTAGTGGGGTTTGTACCATTTTATTTTCAAAAGATTTTGACGAAATTAAATTTAAAACTCTTCAAAATATTAAACGCACTCAGCATTTCTTCAGCCGATGTTGGCAAGAATGAAAACCTGAGTTCTGAAAAAAATAGTACCACAGTCGTATCATTCAACACACAATTTCAGGTAAGAAAAAATACTGTAATTGGAAAATCGATTGGCCATTTCAGTCATGGTTATTTTCAAAATATTCCGACATACAATACTTTGAAAATGTACCATATATACTCTTAAGTCTTGATTGAGTAACCCTTTTCAAAAGTTCCTTGTTCGAGTTTGTTTTTCATTATCTTCAAAGACGCAAAACAGCAAAAATTCATTTAGCAAGCTGTTCCCATTAATGCTGAGAAATATCTAAAAATAGATTTACAAAGGTTGGAATAATATCTACGTTTTATTTAATAACAATTTGCGCTCTATAGACAAAGGGAAAGTATTTCTAAAGCCTTTTTCCTTGATTGGATATCATGAATTATTAATTTCGAAAGGTTAATTCAAATTGGTAATAATTCATGCAAAATTGTAGGGGATATGAGGTTATTTCGTTTCCTGAACGCTGATTTCCTAGCTTTTATCCTTTTTTGCAAAATAAAATGTTTTGCAGAAAAATGAAAAACTTTTGCTGATATCCCACCCTTGTTTGAGTAAATTTTATACTGCCCCGTAATATATAAGATATTGAGACCGTTACAATTTTTCCTTGCGGAACTTAAAAAAAAACAAAAGGGATTCACGCAGAAATGAAGTCAGAAATTTATCATGCGCATCATTCCAAAAAAACAAAACAAAAAAGGTTCATATCCCGAGGCAAGGGTTCGGCCGAGGCATGCCCATGATGAGGGCGTTCAGTTCGAGCCAGGAGCACCTGGGCGTGTCCATGGGCCCGTATCACCACACCAGAGGCCATTCTTTCCACGACACTGGGTTCGGGATGCACCCGGGACTCGGTCAGCCGTGGCCACCAGGGCGACAACATTTCGGCACCATCTCGGCCATGGGTCTCCAGCAGCAGCAGCAGCAGCATCACGGGCCAGGGCCGAATATGGGTCCCAGGGGATCCCCTGTGGGTCAGAGCTACGCTCCTCCGCCGCCGGCACCCGGGATCGGCGTCGGGGATTTCGGCGGCAAGAAGATGAACAACCCGGGTTCGTCACCACTTTTGTTCTTTCTCTCTCTCTCTGTTCATCTTTAGTTCTGCTTCACCTTTTTTTTTCTCCATCTCTATATATCTGTCTGTCACTCTGTACGTATTTCATTCATTCTCTTTCTGTTCTTCCAGCTGTCTTTCTCTCTACCTCTGTCGATGTCAATCTATCTGTATTTCTCTATATTTTTCTTTCCCTCTCTACCTCATTTACATTTCACTCTATCTCTATTTATCTCCCTTTCTACGTCTTTGATTCATCCTCTATTTCTTTCTCTACCTCTCTCTATATATATCTGTCACTCTCTTTTTTTCTCAGCCTCTCTCTATATGGACCTCTCTCTTTATCTCCCTCTCTCTGATTGCCTCTCTCTTTCTTTCTCTCCCTCTCTCTGATTGCCTCTCTCTCTTTCTCTCCCTCTCTCTCTTTCTCTCCCTCTCTCTGATTGCATCTCTCTCTCTCCCTCTCTCTCTCTCTCTTTCTCTCTCTCTCTATTTTTCTCTCCCTCCCTCCCTACCTACCTACCTACATACAGAGCAACCTTACTTTTTCTCTTTACCTCTTTCTACCAACTTTGCTTCCTCTCTCTTTATCTTTCTAACTCTCGCTCTCTCTCTCTCTCCCTCTCTTTGCTGCTTATTGCTTTGCTATCTTTCCATGTGCTCATTCTTGTATTATCGTTTTCTCTGCTGATTCACAATAAAGTATTTTCTCAATTACAATTTTGGACGATGTTTGTTAGTTCTGAGGCAGCAGCATTTATGTCTGCCACAAGTCCACAACATATAGACATAGACCATCCCTATTAATTTTGTTCTTCAATGATCGAAGGTCATTTTTTGTGCATCTTTATGAAACACTTGCAGTTTGCTCAAATTCTAGTGAAATTTCACTGGAAAAGGATTCGCCTGACCGATGAATTTTTTGCAAGACCGATTTCTCTTTGATTAATGCTTATTTTTTTCTAATTTAGGGGAAATAATTCGAGAAAAAAGTATTCGTGATTATTGGTGTTGGAATACTGTACATTTCGTTCGAATATTAAGAGGTGAAATTGAACACCGGGACAATGATCACGTGATTGAAGGAAATCGGTGCAATAACCAGTTCATTTCAAAGGGAAAATCAAGGAAAAATAAAATAGAAGCTAAAAAAATGAACGCGTACACTTTTCAAATTCTTAAGAATCCCATTTGTCTTGGATTTAAAAACGAGGTGTGAAATGAACCTTCAAATCAGGTTTATATTTAAATGATTTTTCCTCCGTGAGAAAATCCAGGAAGTGACAAAACAATTATTCGCATTTTCTGCGGCGGGCGGGACATTTTATTCAATCGTGCAACCAATCAATATACAGTAAAATCTCGTTACAACAAACTCCTGGGGACCAGAGAAAAAATTCGTTATAACGAAAAATTCGTTGTAATGAGATTGCTTGATTTGGTTACAGAAAAAACACTTCATCCTCTTTACAAGCATTTTATTGCTTGAAAAAATCAGTGATTTTACTATAACTATATATATACATATATATATATATATATATTTTTTTTTTAACTTGCAGGCCAGTCACAGCAAATAAGAGACCCTATAATGGACAAGATCGGCATGCGAACCGGTCGATCGTCTCTCATGAAGAAGGACTTCAACGAGCAGCAGCAGCAACAACAGCAACTTCCCTCTTCCCTCTTATCAGACGCCAAAATCGACAACAACGACGCGTCATCCCGTCGACAGCAACAGCACCACCATTCCAATAAGCGCAAGCTCGTCCTTTCGGCGGATCCGTCGTCGTCAGCAACTGACGCCGCCGCCGCCGCCGCGGATGCCGCCCTCACCGGCAACGAAATCACGTCCGTTTGCAACACCATCACTTCCGCCACTGCTTCTTGGACGCATCGCGCAAACGAATCCCTTTTCGACGACAATGACGACAACAACACCGATTTCCGTCGCCAGCAGCAACAGCAGCAGCAACAACAACAACAACAACAACAACAACAACAACAACACGCTTTGTCGAAAGAAGAAAGGGAATTGCTGCATGAGCTTGAGCATCCCGAGGCCGTGATTGAAATGGACCCAGTGTTGTCCCAGTTCCAAAGATCCTTGTCACTGCCCAGGGACTATGGCAGGAAGTTTGCCAACTGGAAGCAAACTGGGCCAGGGGGTGGGAATAATAATAACAACCCTGGTGGTGGTGGTGGTGGTGGTGGTGGTGCTGAGACTGACCCTGTTTCTGCTGGTCCCACGGAAGTCACAAAGGTACCCGATGGTGCCAAGGGTGTGGTGCGAAGGACCAAACCCGAGCCGACCATGAATGTGAGTTTATTTCCTCAGTATATAACATACAGTGGGATATCGTTACAACGAACTGCTTTGGACCTTAAAAGAAAGGTTCGTTATAAGCGAAAATTCGTTATAAGAGAAAATTCGCTATGAGCGAAAATTCTTTAAGATAATTACTCGGATTTTCTGCGGGCGGGACATTTTTTATTTAATCGTGTAACCAATTAATATATAACTATATATTTATTTTTTTTACTTAAGCGAAAATTCGTTAAAACAATTACTCGCATTTTCTGCGGGCGGGACATTTTTATTTAATCGTGTAACCAATTAATATATAACTATATATTTTTTTAACTTGAGCGAAAATTCGTTATTAACGAAAATTCGTTGTAAGCGAAAATTCGTTATAAGCGAAAATTCGTCATGAAACGAAAGTAAAGCAACATTGTGGCTATATATTAGGCAGCGACCATAAAATAATAATAATTCGCTGCACGCTTTAATTCTTTAGGACGATATTCGTTGTAAAACGATTTCACTGTATATGTTTAGGAGAGGCGGAAGAAATTCGACAGAAATACAGTATTTGAATATGATTTCGGCGTTGGTGATTTTTTTTTGTCTTGTATAATGGACCAAATTTATCATGCGAGGTATGATCAGCATTTGATGTGAGTGCGTGGGGTTTGATCAAAATTTTTGAAGAAGCCCACAATTTTTTTTGTCCAATATAAAGTGGTTAGGATCCAAGGAATCGATTCTGCACGCGTTATAAAAATCAGAATTCTCCAAGATTTTGTATTTATCTAATAGCAATCGCTTCTCTTAGCCAACTTAGCGTTCGCTGTCGATGTGACATTTTCGAAGAATGTTTATTTGAAGTTCTGTCATGTAAATATTCTCAAAGCTTCGCTTTATTTCACTGAGTAGCCGTATTTGAATCAACCTCGACAATAGCTAATTTTATTTTCGAAAATTTAGGTATCGATTTTTACACTAGCGGTAACTAATGTTATAAGAATATCGCACGAATAATTTTAAAATCCCTATAGAACATGAGAATCAAACAGGTTTCGTCAATTCAAACTTGTCTTAGAGCAAATTTTCAATTTTCGACTTTTTTATTCGAGGATCACCTTCTAGAATTTTTTTTTAATCCTGTGACGTTTTAAATTTTTATTAATGCGTAAAGAAACGGAGATTAAATTCAACAGAATTTTGACGATAATTAGAAGTTTTATGCGTATTTTTTCATGCTGTACGTCAATTAATTTTGCATTCGAAGCCATATTTAATTCAAAATGAACAAGCCTTATTTATTCTTTAAAATTTAGAAATCCCTTTTTACCGGAGCAACTAATGTTGTGAGCATGACCTAATTTAAAAATCCCTCTATAAAACATGAGAGCCATAGAAAGCTTTGTCAATTTGAACTTGTTCCGGTGGCTTTTTTTTTACTTTTGCGATATGAGAATGACCCGCAGAATTTTGCTCGTAAGATTTAATTTTTTATGAATGCGTGGTGAAATTGAGATTAAATTCAGCAGCATTTCCACGATAAGATAAGGTTGTCTGGGTGATGCCACCGAAATGTTCCCCGAGTAAAGCGATTAAGCTGAATTTTTAATCAGTTCCTTGAAGATGTAACGATAATTGATGAAGGGAACAGCTGCGAGAAAGAAGGGAGAATTAACTCTTAATCTTCGTCTGTTCTTGGAGCTAATTAATTATAAAAGGGTGGTCTGAAAAATCTAAAACTCACTGGGGTGGAAATGATACCATTGTTTTTTCATTTAAAAATTAAGATCCATCCTTTTGTGTTTGTTTCTTGCCACGTTAATCCAATTTACCTTTTTTTTTTATTTCCAGAAGAGGTGCACTCAAGTAGATTTTATTTTACTGGTGGATGCAGAACCACTGGTTTCTTTTTTTTTGCGGGGATAATATATATTTGTTTCTGTGGGCTTTCTTCTTTACATACGATTTAAAATAAAGGATGTTTTAGCAGTAGTAAAAATTGCGAAGTAAGAACGTGTGATCAAGAAAATACGAGCAAACCATAAACTCGCTGTACCGGTTTTTCTTTTTTTTAACGTACCCGTCTGTGAAGTCTTAACCATCTTCTTCATATTACCGGGAAATGAATATCTTAAATTGGACCGAATGATGCAATAAACATTTAGAATGCGCGAAATTGAAAGAAATGGATTCTTTCCGAAAATAAATTGAAGAGCTCGTCAAGTAACATTAGGCTCTGTTTGGATGTAAATTCACAGAAAAACATTCTTGAAACATAGGATATCACCAATGAATTACATTAATCGCTGAATCTAAAAAAAAGAATAAAACAGGAAATCCGGTTCATTGATTGAATTTTAAGCAATATATGCACTTTGCGTATTGCAATTTTTCATTCATTTGACGAGGATTTTCAGTGATAATATTTTGTTTCATTCAGAAAAGTTGAATTTTTCTTGAATTTCTGCAGATATCCACTTTTCTCTTTGTCGTTCATATCTATTAAACAAAATTAAATTCATTAAACTATGAATACAATCAGCGACATCAGCCTATATAGTCTTCAAAAGATAATTTAAAAACTATGCAGCACCAGATGCATAGTTCAAGAAGAAATTAAAAACGCTTGTGTTTTGATTACAACTTCGTTGCTCAAGTTTTTGGCATTTTTAAAGAAACACCGGATGTATGAAGAACCGTCCTCTTATTTGAAAAGTCAATAGGCTCACTATTATCATAGCAAAAAAACGTAATTTTAAAATTGAACTGCGCGCGAAAATTAAATGAATTCTCGGCTCCGTCTCTTTCCGTTTTCCCAGATCATAACCGGAAATAATTTGTCGTTCCAGGGAACATCCGGAAAGAGTGCCGACGACTTGGACATGGAACGAGCCTTGCGGAACCCGCACAACCGGCTCAGCACCCCGGATGTCGTCCGGTCCACCATGGCCAAAAAGAAAGAGCTGAAGTACAACGAGGAGACGATCGACAGTGTTCTAGGGAAACCCAAGAAGATCCTGATCCCCGAACGCTACGTGCCCGAGGTATGTGGATCTATATACTGCATATACTGTACAGTGAGACCCCAAGATACGGACGTAATTGGTGCATCAAGAGTGTCCCCAAGTCGAAATGTCCCTAAGTCGAGTCTCATTTTCCCTTAGACTTAGATTATATACTTTTTAATTGGTGTTTTATGTACAAAATACTCACCATAATTCCATGAAAATAAAAAATTTTTCCCAATTTAAACTGATTCCAATCAATATATTTCAACACAATATGGACATTTCGGGAATTGAATACTGATATAGTACCTCTTTACAGTACATGGAAATGTTGGTATTCTCTGAAAAAAAATAATATTCAAGTGAAAAAGAGAGAAGGAAGTCCCCTTTGCTGGAGGTAATTTTTTTTAATTAGCTAAATGGATGTTTAAATTGGTGAGAGAAATGCACAAGAACTTTTCTTACACCAATTTTAGGGTTGGAAATATCTGTTTCTTGTAATTTGGCCTGAAATGTATCTGCAATTTTATAACAAAATGTCCCTATGTTGAGTCAGTGTCCTCATGCCGGGCCATTTTTATTAATTTTTATGATAAAGTAAGTGTCCCTATGTCGAATTATCCGCAGGTCGAGGTGTCCGCATGTGGGCAGGGGTCTCGCTGTATATTCGTATATACGTATATAATTACGAGAGACCCCAATAAAGATGAAATAAAATAAAGATGCAAAATACACGGTATTTTACGGTACAAAATAAGTAAATGCATAAACAGCACTGCAATACACACCTTCATTTACCGTACTCTATTTAGCATCATGTGCTCTCATTTATGTGAGAGGAAAGACAATAAATGCCCCGATTTTTTTTTTAGAAGAATGAAACCCTGAGTAAAACGCGCAAACCTGTAATCTGTGACGCAAAAAAATAAAAACCATATTTATTGAAGAGAATACGTGAGGAATTTTTAAATTTAGGCTGATTCAACTTGGATTCGATTGACCTGCTTTCTTGACCCGAATTTGCATATGGCAGGTTTATTTGAGGCTAAATATAGTACAGTATATGTTTTACATATTCCGGTCTCTACTCAATAATTTCGGCATACATTTCCCTGATTGTGTTCACAGTATGACTTACAAGCCATTTCCGGAATTTCGTGGGGGGAAAATTATATTAAATTGCGACGCGAGCCCGTTAATTTTTTGAAGCACAATTTGTTTTCAAAAAAATGATGAAAAAGGTAAATACTGTCCAAAATTATTGAAATCGCACGAAATGTATTTGTTTTTGTGATCTTAATTCTCGAAGGTAAATTTTTCGAACAATTTGCCAATCTTACTAACTTTCCGGGACAGAATCCTATCATTTTCTGATGTAGTACGGTAAAATGGTTCAATAAGGTCTGTTTTTTTCTTTTTTTGCTTCGTATTTTGAATATTGTTTTTCGCAGAGATACAATCCTTCATCTGGTTTTCTGTTTATTTGCGCTGTTCTGCGACGCGTTGCTTTGGAACGCGCTATTTTGAAACATTTTGGCAAATGTTTTACTATACAGTCATCTGAGTTTTTTGCATTGACTCCCATGAAGCAGGTAAAAAATTTAAGATTTGAGATTTATTTCAGGGTTGTCTGATATGCTTTTTGAAGTGTAGAACGACCCGAAAAAGCAAACTCGGAAACTTTCGGGAGTGAAAGAGTACATCTTTTTACTTTTTCAGTTTGAAAATTGTGTGTTTTTTTTTTATCCACGCTTGAATTTGGAACGTGACATGTGCAAACAAACGGAGAGGATGAGCTTAAAACTTTGCTGAAGGATTTCCCCCCAAGTTCAACACGCGCAATATATTTCGTCAAGTTTCTGGCTTGTTTGGTTTGATATTCTCACCATTTAAATAAACCATTGTACATAATCTTGAAAAGTGAAAAAGAGGATAATTGAAATTTAGAGAGAAACAAAAAAAAGAAATTACTGTATCTCAATCCCAAGTGGCAGTTGAGCGGAACTTGATGCCAGTACACGCGTACCCGGGTCTTCCGGTGTGGCAGCAAACTTAATTTATTCCATCCCGGAAATGTCCGTATTGCTGTCGGGAAATGGTATTTTATGCAGTTGAGGAATGGTAATTGTCGTTTGCATCGTCGGGTTCAAAGCGGACTGTGTGACGGGGAAAATTGCAATTTTCCCTGCGAAATCGCATTTGTTTCGCAAGGATATGTTGCTCCAGAATAAGGCCGTCATTCTCTTTCCAGGAGTTTGTTTTGCAATTTTTTGGACCTGTTCGTTGCATTTGTTTCTGCTTTGGACTTTTTGAGAACAGCATACCTCCAGATGAGGTGGATTTTTCATTTTATTTTTGAGAAGAACTGACTTTTTTGCATAAACCTATAGTCAAGCTTGATTTCGTTTCGTTATTTATAATCAAGTTCCACGCACCAGAAATTTTAAAATTTATAATTTATTGAAAACGGAAGCGAGATGTTTTCCAGAGATTACAAGTACTGTGTTTTATTTCTTGCTTTTATGTACTGTATTTAGCTGGGCCCAAAAAGTTTTGCACTGAACTTTTGCTCCAAGTACTGTAAAGCAGATTTGGATTTGAATATTGTCCCAAGAACTACGGGTTTTGTATACTTTTAAAAAGGTTTAGATTTGAGTTAGTGAAACAAGCATTTTTGCTTTGGGAATTGTAGAAGAATTACGTGAAATTGTAAAGGGTGCTATTTTGGGCTTTAAATTGCTTCTTGAATAAGTTGACAGGATGATGCTGAAGTTGGAGGCAAGGGTTCATTTGCCCAATGAGTCTTACACTTCCTTTCAAAACACATCAAGTTACTTTTTTATTGCTTCTCTCTTTTCTGTGCCAAGAAAATAATAGTCAAAAGGTCTCAGAAAATTTGAGTTAGGGAGATTTTGAGAGGAAAAGCCTTTCAGTTGAAGAGATGTTTTTAACCCTTGGGCAGCAGCAGGTTCTTTTGCATATTGTGCAACAGTGCAGGAATTTTTTTTCAGGCTTCTGCATTTTGCTTTGATCAAAGGTCACAAAAGATGCAGCTTTGCGCCAAAGTTGGAAAAAAATCCCACAAAAAGAAAGCTGATAATATCTTAATTCTATTACTATGGCTGAATTGCAGAAAAAATTCCATTCAACAGTAACTTTTTTTCTTCTTTTTGTGTTGAAAATTTTTCTGCAGGAATCCTGAAATATTTTGGGTTTTTTTACTGAATTTGGCTCCTCAAACCATTGTTGTTTCCCTCTTTTTTCTTCTCATATTGTGGCACAAGTTTTTCTGGATAAATCCTGGCACTGCTGCCCAAGGGTTAAGCATTACAGTGAGTCCCCAAGATGCGGACGTAATTGGTGCATCAAGAGTGTCCCCAAGTCAAAATGCCCCTAAGTCAAGTCTTGTTTTCCCATGGACTTACATTATATAATTTTTGATTGGTGTTTTATGGAAGAAATATTCTTCAGAATTCCCTGAAAAAAATTGTTTGCCACTCAAATTTGAATTAGTAAATACATTTTCAACTCAATAAGAACACTTGGAGCATTTAATAGTGTATCTCTGTACTGTTTACTGAAATTTTGGCATCTACAAAAATAACATTCAAGTGGAAAAAAGCGTGTCCGGTCAGCTGCCGGCCGGTCAATTGACGGTCGCGCACCTGCCGGTTGTCAAGCGCCGGTCGGTCCAACTGCCAGAGCATGATTCTTCTCACCAAATTGTTCCGGTGCCCCAACAATTGGGTGACCAAACTGCGGTTTGGTGGACTGGGGATTGGCGAGGCCAAGAACTGCCCTGGCTGGCGGTTGGACCAACCGGCGCTTGACGACCGGCGGGTGCGCGACCGTCAATTGACCAATGGGCGGATGACCCGGTACGGGAAAAAAGTAGAAGTCCCTCTAAGCTGGGGGTAATTTTTCAAATTAGCTAAATGGATGGTAATTTGGTGAGATAAATCCCCAAGAACTTTTCTTACATCAATTTCAGGGTTTGAAATATATGTTTCTCGTAATTTGGTCTGAAATGTATTTGCAATTTTATCACAAAATGTTCCTATGTTGAGTCAGTGTCCTCATCTTGGGCCTTATTTATTGATTTTTTCTGGGAAAATAAGTGTCCCTCTATGTCGAATTTTCTGCAGGTCGAGGTGTCCGCATGTCGGGGTCTCACTGTATTTCTAAGGAAATTCAGATGTGGACTTGAGAAGAAAGAAAAAAAATCGACTTAGTTGGGTTCCAGTTACAAGTATAGCAAGGTTCAACCGTATATAATAAAGGACCATCGTGTTTTTTTCTTCTCTCCTTCGGCTTCCTCTCATCGCTGCATTGTTTCCCGGAATCAAGGGAGTGGAGATCACTGAAGAGGAGCAGGCAGCCAGGAGCAAGAAGGCCGAGTCCATTCGGAAGCTCCTGCTGCTGGATACGCAAGTGGACGTGTCCGGTGACATGAAGGGACACAAACGGGCAGAGGACAGGAAAGCGCCGGACGGAGACAATGGTCGACAGTCGTCGACGTCGTTGTCGACGTCCGCGGCCAAGACGACGACGACGACGACGACGACGTCGGAGAGCCTCAAGGCCCAAGTAGAGGCGGAGAAGCGGAGACGGGAGCACATGCTGGCCCTCAATCAGGCCCTGGCCAAGGAGGTTATCGAACGGGCCAAAGTTGCGGCCGGTACGTGCATATAGAAGAAAAAGAAAAAAATAAAAAGAAAAGTAGAGGGTGGGGTGGGGTTTTCTCGCTTTACTTATCATTCTTCCATCTTCGTATACAGTATATAGGTTTCTCTTTTATTCCGTTTCATTTACACGATGCTCGTCGATATGCCAGCAGTTTTTCCTATTTTTCTTCCCCTTTATTGGTTGGGTATAAAAACGAAAGCGAAAATCATATGGAATAATTTGTATATTTATCTATTTTATTCCGATTCTTTCCTACGATTCTCGTCTTTATTATACGCGCCTGCTGTTTTCTTAATTATTATTCGTCCCTTTATTGCGGAGTAAAAACACAAAAAAATTATGTAACAGGATGTTCGTATTTCACTTTCATTTCCATTAATTTATATGATTCTCGTCGATTTCCTGCAATACGTTTCCCTTAGCTTTTTCTTCGCTTTTGTATAAGGAAAAAAAAGAAATTAAAAGTTATGTGATAGATCTGTGTCAGGTCTTTTTAAATTTACTGATTTTGTGGCATAGTGTGTGGCCTGTAAGAATGTGTTTCTACGACGTTTTGTTCTTATATTCTTGCATATCTTCGTTTATTGTTGCAATTTATTTTTGCGATACCTGTCGAACGCAATTTGTTTTTATGCATGTCTTTCGATGGGTAAACACAGAACGAACAGCAAAAAATTTTATTGAAAAAAAGTTCTGTCAGTTCCTTTGAATCAAAATTTTGTTGCAAGAGTAATTTGCTTTCTTTTCTTTTTCATGCGTGAATTTTTTTCGTTTATTTTTTATTCAGTTTTTACAATATACTAAAATTTTTTAATTTTTTCCACGTCTAAGGGATTAAAACAAAAGATGAAAAATATATTTTTCAAGAGTCTTGTCCATTCTCTGAATTAGCTTCATTTTTTAACAAGTTTTTATTAACTCGCTTTCTTGTCCATTTGTTTGTCTGGATCAAATTTTGCTCACTTCCCAACTAGCTAGCAAGCTGAAACTTTCAGGATAGCTTAGAAACTGATGAAAATGCAATCTTTTGTGAAAAGAATAATTATAAGGAGATTGTTGGGAAGAAGTGAAATACAAATGAAATAGATGCTCACCATGTTTAAGGTTATTTTTTGCTTTTTGAAAACGTGGTTTTTAGATTAATTTTTTAATCTACTAAATTTTACGATGAAAATAAGTTTGTCTTATTAATTTTTCATCTCTCAAATTTTTTCATCGAATAATTTAAAAAATTCTCATCAATTGCCGTTTCTTCGCATTTTTTCATCTGTATCTACGTATTCATCATTGTCAACTTCGAACTGAGTTGGCAAAAATTAGGACTGCGGTGTCGGAAAATACAACTGATTATTACGAAATAAAAGGTATTTCCGTCTTCGTATATATTCATCAAGACTCCAATGGGGGTTAATTGAACCTCTTGTCTTCTTCAATTCATAAGCATACATAAAGTGATGAGACTGGCGAGATTTAAAAACCAATAACCCGTTTACTGAATTTCCTTTTTATACCCATGTCTCGCTTTCCCCGCCTTATATTTTTCCTCCAACCCTCATATCCTCTCTCCAGCATCTATTTCTTTTTTTCATTTCCGGTGCATGACAAGGAGTTAATGTTGACAGTCGAGGTGTCGGTGTAGTGTCAAAATTTCTCCTTGCGTCAAATCTTAGGCCCTTGGGGGAGGGGGGAAGGGAATGCATGACGCGTGGAAATATGTTTTTTTTATTGACTGCCTTTGGTGTCACTTCACTCAAATATCAACACGCTGTCAGGTTTTCCTGCGATTTCAGAATTTATAATACTGGGGGTATTCTACTGTAGTATTTATATCCTCATGGAATTTTCTGCAAGTATCAGTATTCAATTCCCCAAATGCCCATATTGTGTTGGAATATATTGATTGAAATCAGTTTAAATTGGGAGAAAATTTTTATTTTCATGGAATTATGGTGAGTATTTTGTACAGAAAACACCAATTAAAAATTATATAATGTAAGTCTACGGGAAAATCAGACTCGACTAACGGACATTTCAACTTATAGGGACACTCTTGATGCACCAATTACGTCCGCATCTCGGGGTCCCACTGTATATGGAATTTTTACATTTTTTTATGTTTCGCAGATGCAACTCGGGAAGATGAAGACGCCGGGAGTGAGGAGAAGGCATTGAACACCAGTGAAGAGTCATCACCTGTCCAACCTCTTCCCCTGGTTCAACAACGAGAAAACTACTTGACCTGATGTGCGACCCATTCTGTTGACATGCTGAACATTCCCCCTGTCTAGGAAAGCGCAGCGAGAATTCCTTCATAGATAAACGAATCATTGACAACAGCACTGAAAAGAAAGGAAAGGGAAAAAAGAACCGAATTTCCTCGCCGCCGAGAGACAGACGACGACGAACATGGGAATTGAAAAACTAGCGGAACAAACATCCGAAAGGAAAAAATTTCAAGTGCAAATAATAAAACACGAGGAAGGAGAGAAACAATCTTTCTGTGCTTCCGTTGTTGTTTTTTTTTTCTATGCTGTTCCGGTTTGTATATGTATAAGAGGTCGACCTTTTTTTCCCCCCTCGTTTTTTTTTTTTTGCGCCTCGCGACGATGAATGGCGTTTTATTGTCTCCCCATTTACCCTTGTAGTCTTTGTGTGCTTAGACCCTAAAGTTTTATTGAAAAATGAGAAGACACTTTTTTTTGTGCTTAGGCTACTGGCACCAGCCGTCCTGTTCGAATTAGATCTTTCAATACATTCTGCCATGGGGGGGAAAAATGGGGGAAACTTGCGGGGGGTTGAGGTCCACGGAGGGAAATTTTAGGCAATATTTGAGGCTTAGTTTGTTGTGATGCATGCTCTATTTTCTGAGTAGGGTGTTTCTTCCCTACGGTTTGTGTCTCTCATTTTTTTTTTTTTCCTTTCTTATACATTCCTCATCGGTACTGTGTCGAATGCGAAACCATATCTCTGTCTCCGTTTTTCTTCTTCGACTAAAATTTTCTGCAATGTCAAAGAAAGCATATCGGTCAGTTGCTGCGGCTCTTTGCCCTTTTTTTTGTGGAAGCAGATGGCGCGCGCGACATGACGAAAAAGCCGGATATCCGTTTGGTGCGCTGAGGAACCGCAAGAAAACAGTGGCTGCGCTTTTTTCTTTTCCCTAAGACTATACTGAAGATTGAGGACGAATTTATTTGAAAAATATGACTTCTCCAGCATTATTATTTGTACGCATTTCTTTATGGTTAAAACAAGCGAAAAAATAATGTATGTGCAGCTGATCTGCAAATACTGTATTTCCTTGAATACCATTTGCCCTTGATTAAGTTGCACACCTGAATTTCTTTTTTATAAAATTTGGATGAAAACCTGCTCCCAAGTACATTAAGATGGCCATCCCATTTTTAGTGACTGGAAAACTGGAAAATATTTTGAAAGTGAAGTGCATCACCATTTCAATTTGAATTTGGACTTGGATTGAACATGAATTCAATCAATTTCCCTTTTTTCTTTTTTTCATGGTTCCAACGTTTTACATTTGAAGATTTAGAACCAAGTATTGTGAAAACAAATTTATACATTCCTATGATGTGCGCCCTCCTTTTTTCTTCTCAATTATGAAAAAGTGCACTTGGTACTAAAGCAAATAAGTATTTTCTACATGTGGACTCTCTCTAAAACAACCTTGTTTACAATTATTCTATCTGCTTAAAAGTTCTTTGATCTCATAGGGTTCGCTTATCCACATGTAATATTGGTTCTCTGCAACAAAATTTTCTCTCATGATTCTTTCTCTGGTCCTTTGAACTTTGTTGTAGAGGGAGTTCACATTCTATTCCAGGGATTACCCGTAATGAAGAAGTCACTTGTAGTTTATTTTGTTTCTGAGCTTGCCTTTTCTCTCTGCAATTATTTACGAGTGATCTCCCCGAAATACTTGATTTTAAAAAGTAATACTTTTACTGAAGGATTTTGTTTTCTTATTCCTCCAAGTATTTGCATGAGACATTTATGGAAAAAGGCAATCATCCATGTATTATTTGTTGGTACTACAGTATAATGCTGCTACTTACTGTATTTTGGTCTTGGACGATGCTCTGCTGTACCATTGCGTCTTTCTTTAAATTTTTATTCAAGCGCAGTCACGTTCGTTTCTTGCCAAAGCCGCCACAGCAACTTGGGCTGCAGAAGAAAAAACGTTATTCAGACAAAGTTATGCAAAGTAAAGAGAACGAGAAAGAAGTTAGCCCTTGAGTGTTACTACTGGAAAGCAGCAAAGAATATTATTTTTGTATGGATAGGGAAACGATGCAGTTTAATGTCCGGACGGGGAGGTTACCAGGGGACGAATCCCGCTGTTCGGTCGGTTATTATTACTTACAGGGTAGTTGGCGAGGGAACGTTTGTCGGGTTTCGTTGGTTACAGCAATATGAATCGAAAGTTACGCAATTACGGAAAACCTCAGAGAAAGTTGGTGTATGTCCAGAGTTCGTTTCGGGAAGAAATGAAAAAACCCTTACTGTCATCTAAAAATATTTTGGTGTTTTTTGCTGGTCCCTGCCTGCGTATACAATATAGAGCAGCAGCGATAGGAAGAGCCGGAGCCGAATTTTTTTATGAGCGACACCTAGCAGTTGCAAATTAACTCGCTTGTTTCAGAGATGACTGCAGTTTTTCCGGGAAACACAGCCCAGCAGAAATCCATGATGAACATTCGTTTTACAGCGTCATCTATGCATTAGTAAAATAACGCTTATTCCTTAAGAAAAGGTTTCACCATGCGAGGACATTGACTTTAAACAAGCATGTTATGCGAGCGACACCTAACACCAGAAAAGAACAAAGTCGAGCGACACCTTCCAGGAAAGAAATCCGCAAATTCCAGAACGTTCGAGCTCATTCCCGCGAGAATCGGCTCTTTCGATTTCTGGAAACATCCAGACCTTGATAGGCGAGACTAGAACTCTCATACACATTATGGCACGCAGCGTATATATTATGCTGTCCGCGGAATTTTCCGTCATTCGAAGAAGCCCGCCGAGGAAAACAACGAAGCTGTGGAAGTGCAGCGTTATTGGCCAGCGAGCGTTATTCCGTGCTCAAGGAACTGTACTGAGTTGAACCGGAGAAGAAAATGTTTCGTTACCAAACTCCGTATTATCCTGAATGGGTATGTGTGAAATATTTGTGATGTGAGTTGAGCTTGTGCTAACTGTGAATTCCATCCTTACAGAGTATGACGAGGTACTACGGGAATCGTCCTACGTACGGGTATGAGCCGCATTTCATAGTGTGCAATCGAAACAGTGGAGAGGATTGTTGGTTCGGATCCCAATCGAGAAGGCACCCGCGTGAAGCTGCCCTGAGAGATGATCCATTCCAGGGCAGAAGTTTCATTCCGATCAAGGTCACGCATGAAAAGTCCTCGGAGATCCAATCTACCCCAACAACTGCTGAACGAGATGTTCCAATCCAACGTGCTGCTAGCCACCCGGCGTCTCCAGAACTTGGTGATGGCAAGCAAGTTCCCATGAAGGAGCGTGAGGTTCCAATCAGGCGTGAGGCAGAAGCAAAGAATGTCGGTCATCCTTTACCATTAGATTTGAAGGCATTTCATGGTGCTCGTCGTGAGGAAGCCTCGGAAAATGAAGTACCACCGATTAAGAAGCGCAGTCTGGACAGAATTGCGAGTGTTCATGCATCTTTGGAGAATCTAAGGGAGCAGGTAGCCTTGTTCAATGGAAAAAAAGGTTCCAAGGGCTACGTTTTTCTTGATGAGATGTTGACACGAAATCTCATTGCATTGGACGATGTGGATACCTTTGGCGACGATGACATCCGTTCAAAGCGGAAAGATGCGGTGACCCAAGTGCATAAGTACCTGCAAGAACTTGAGGGTAAAGCTTGTGTGGGTAAGCAGTCGTCGGAAGTGTCATCAAGTATGGAGTCCGCAGAAGTAAGCAGTGTTGGGGAAGTAGGTCGGGAGGAGATGGAGGGAGCGGAAGATCCAACCAGTGAAGATATACCAAAATCTGCTGAGACGATCAGTGAAACTTGGGCTATTGCTATTTTTCAAAATTCCTGTGAAGCTGGAGATGTTCCAGGGAATACAGAGCATCAGGTTTCCTCACGTGATGAACAACCAGGTGGGAAGAGCGTGCAAGAAGTGTCTCCTGAGCAGACTACCGAATCCTTGGCTAACGGAGCAAAAGACAAAGAACCCGGGGCTGACGAGCTTGATGATGTGTCTGTGGATTCAGGGATGGATGTGACCGAGGAACCTGATGGTGAGGTTGCCATGTCTTCTGTTGAGAAGGCGAAAAAGACCAGGGTCTCGGGAAATTCAGAGCAAGAAGATAATTGCGATGGTTTCATTATGGCTGACAACTGAGTGTGTGTGTTTTCGTGCGAATTTTATCAGTGATCTCAAATACTGTAAAATATTTTTTTTCGGACGGGTGACGCTATTTCCAAAGGTACGATTGTTCCGAGATGACCGCAATATAAGCAAGCCTTCTAAAATCTTGGGGTTTCATTCGTGGATCACATGTGCGAGAAGGTTTACGTTTTGATCATGAACACACACCTCTGTGGCTGTCGGCGCATTCAGATGAACTCCAAGTATGTAGCTTATTACGATAAAAGTGTCTTGTAATCCAACTATGAGTGAGTGGATAAAATTTTTAGTAAAGCGGGTTAGAGAGAAGTGTAGTTGGATTTTCTATTCTTTGGCTTCTTGCGTTAATAATAGGTATAAAATCGAAATTTTTAATTAAATGAAATTTAAGATAGAGCCAAAGACAGGTGAACAGCACAAATTGAAAATGTTTGTTTTCGTAGATTACTGACAATTTCAAAAGTGGATTCTGTATTTTGAGTACAGTATTACATGCACCAAAAATCCAAAATTTGTGAAAAATGCTAGAAGCCATTTCATTGCATCCATATCCCAAAATCAAGTGCATGGACGTATTCTGTATCTGTTCAACAGGAAATATTTGGTTCGAAGTTTTCCTACACAGGAGAGCATTTTTCTTACCATTACATAATACCAAGTCATTCGTAATAATTTCTGGATTGTTCAGATAGATTTGATCCATTTCATCAACTTCATGGGAAAGGTTCAGAAAGGACTGCTGTACTTTTGAACATCCACTTTTTTGAATTATATAGGTGGTGCAGTCGGCGGCGTTGCGTCTGTTCTGCCAAGAAATTGGCAGTGTGGAACACCTGTTGGCCGGGGAAAAACAAAACATGCTGAAAATAAGAGATCTTGTTCCATGACCCAGAAATTCAACCTTGCACAGCATGCATTGCGCATTCTTTCTCCAGCTATAGATTTCGATGTTCAAATAAGGGAAACCCGAGGAGAGGCGTTAAACGGCTGAATAAAAATGCGGATAAGATGGCGGTGCGGAGTTTTATTTCAAGTTTTTATTTTGCGTCCGTTTCAGCGGATAAGACGCTGACAGGCGCCGTTTCCGAGCTGCGGATTAAAGCCGCCTGAAACGCTAAACCGTGGGTTGCCTTCGCTTCTATACGCATACTGTATACAGTAATGACGTTATACAGGCGGCGATTAGATAATCCCTTTTCATGATGGGCAAAGTTCTCGCACGCGGTAATGGAATGGATTTCCCATTCTTCTTTCGGGTGTAGGAGTTTCTTTACACCTCAAAAAGAAATAAAAAATAAGTTCTGAAGATGAAGATTCACTATTTCACCACCCAACTTCTGTTTCCCATGACGTGATTTATTCGTACATCACAGTCGACGTTTCCTAAAAATTAAGCTCTATAGTCATCAAGACGGGCAGAATATATTCTGAAGGATACGTGGCCTCGATTGAAAAATAATTACAGAAAATGTTCATGATGAACATTATTGAAGTCGCTGTCGATTGCGGGTTAAAATCTTCGAAATTACACCGTTGCATAATGTTTCTTTTGTAAAAATTATTCGTGATGGACGGAACGAGACAGAAATTTAATTCCTGCGCATCTTGGACGAATATCCTGAAAATGTCTGTAGTAGAGCTTCTCTATAACCCCCATGTAAATTTGACTGCTTCATTTATTTTTGGAAAAATGCCCATGCCTTAACAAACTGTACTGTACTGTACTTTTATGTAAATGCCATGTTGTTTTTCCCTCTATGATGCACATTTTCAAATAAACTGAGACTTCATTCCTCGAAGATTCGTCCTCCAAAAAAAAAGCAGCATCTCACTAAAATTTTCAAGAAAAAAAATTCCTCGCACGTTTTTTACAGATTTTTTCCTCACACAGAAGCGGTCTAATGGTTCATAAATCCTCCCGAGTCGGGGAAACTGAAGTTTCCGAAAATTTCATGGTTGCAACAGGCAGAAAACATATGTACAAAGAAGAGGAAGAAATCGCCCAAGGCTTTTTTCTCTATATAGTGACGCCAGCCCCGGAAACATTTCAAGGGCGGGAAGCACGCCTGAGGACCCTGGTAACTTGCCCATTACGATGCACGGACATTTGAGCGCGTCCCAAAAGAGCGCATGATAAAACGGCGCGTGTCTTGAAAATTATGAACAACATTCGTGAAACCTACGAGGTACCTAGAAAATGACAAGCATTGCCGATGTACATCAAGTACTGTACAGTACATGTGGACTCTCTCTCTCTCTCTCTACAACGAATTTAAAGGGACCAGACAAAATGTGCTGTACAGAGAATTTTGTTTTATGAGAACTCCTATGGCATAAGGAGAAAATCCAATGTTTAAAAAAAATCGCTGTACAGATTTAATCGCTGTAGACAAGACTGTAGAGAGATTCGATCCACCTGCAATGAAAATTTTCTGGTTCCTGAAACTCTCTTTGGCAATCTTATTTACCATTATGTCTTGTGAAAAGAATACATAAAATGTTAAGCTTTATAAGTCACTAATATAACTGGGAATAACAGTGGAATCATGCGAACAGTCTTTGTTGAAGTGATGGCTGAAAATACTTTCTTTGATCATTTAAAGAAGTAAAACTGTGCATTTATATAAAATTCATCCAAGATGGAAAACTGAAAATGTCGTCATCGAAATAACTTGATTTTTTTTAATCTGAAAGGCTCTCCTAAAAATTAAATGTCGTATTTTTTTCTAGATAGTGCAGCCTCATTTTAAAATTGTTAGTGCTCACTAACGCCGGTGCGATCTATAATCAAGATCTGCATGCTTAGGCTGCACTGACTCAATAAATTTTGCATATAATCCAGAATAATGTTGCGAACTGTCTCTGCATGAATGCAGAGGGACAAATAAATTGCACGTTGAATTTTTTTGGGGGAACACATGAAGAATTACATGAATTTGAAATTGGTGATAATTATATTCTAGGCCGTCCTTCGACTGCTGGATGAATTAGTTGACAGGATGCTGAAAACAAAATTACACTCGCCCAATATTAAAATTCTTGCACTTCCTTTTGAAGAGCATCAAGTCAATTTTTTTGTTCAAAGGTATTCAGAAATTCAATTCATAGAGGTATGAAGAGGTCAAGAATTCCAGTTCGAAAGGTCCTAGATTACATATTATTTTCAAGGGACGTCAGACTGAACAAAATGAATGAAACAAAATTTGACACAGGGAAGTTTTCAACTCTAAGAGGCTTGAATTAGCAAGGTCCTATTCCTTGGTACAATATTCGTAGCTTTTTTGTGGACAATTATTAAGAACTAAACAACCCAAGAACATAAACAATACAGCTTTGCAAAAAAGTACAGTATAAGGTAATGAAGCCGTAGAACTTCTTGAATTTTTGGAAACCATTTTGTAATTTCTTTCTGTTCTTGGTACGCGCTCAATTGCCAGGGTCATAATCTATGATGAACCCACAGTTGTGCGCGGGGTTTTTTTTTTTTTTTTTTTTTAATAAACGATGGAAGAATAATAAGAAGAAACCAGCGCAACACACTAAAGAGAAATAAATCTCTCGAAGCCTTACTTCCACCTAAACCACGTGTTGGCGAGAGAAAATCCAAATCCCGTTGCGCGATCGTCCGAGGCGGCGAAGAAGAAGAAGAAGAAGAACAGCAGTACCGCTTGCTGGCTGAGAACTGCAGTTGCGTCAGCTTTTTTTCGGAGGCAGCACACAACAGGAGAGATGAAGAGAAAAGAACAGGAAGGATAATACAATGAGGCACACCGAAAAAATAAAAATTTAAGAGAAAAAAAAAAAAAAACGGCGCCGGGGTGCGAGGCGCCCTTCCCTGCTGCGGCGCCGGCGAACGGGGTCGGAGGTCAGGTCTCTCACATCCCGGGCGTCGAGCGGGCGCCACGCACGCGCCATGGATGAGCTGCTGCTCGCGCGGGCGCCTCGCCGCCGCGCGCGGGGTCCATTAGGCGGTCGGCGGCGCCGGAGTCCGGGCTCATTCCTCCGCTCGTCCCGTATCCGCGAGGCTCTGGTGTTTTTTTTTTTATATATTTATACTGCTTTGAAATATTTATATAGCTTTTTATGCTTCCGAAAATTATTTTCCTGCTTCATTTGTTTTCGCACGATGAGTGAAACGTCCGTCTTTTCAGTGCAAAAATTCGACGAATTTTTTTTCTTCGAAAATTCAAGTTCTAGTTTTCTGCGGAAGCACGTGGCGCCGGAGTCCGGGCTAATTTCCTCCTTCTGTCCTGCATCCGCGCGGCTCTGCTTTTTTTGTTTTAATATTTTTATGGTTATTTATGCCTCTGACAATGATTATTATTTTTTGCTTCATCTGCTTTCCCACAAGTGGAACCTCCTTATCTCTGTAGTGAAAAAAAGACGATTGCGACTGAACTTCTAATAATTTTTTTCGAAAATACAGTTGAACCTTGATAACCCAAACCTCCCTATAAGTCAAATTTGTTTCAAGTCCTTGTCTAAATCCTAATTCAAAACAATGCAGTGAAAACCTTTGTAACTCACAGGCTTTTCCTCTAAAACCTCAGTAACTCGAATTTTCTGAGGTCTCTTGGCTTATTAATTTTTTGACACAGGAAACAGGAAAGCAATTGACAAAAATAACTGTGTTTGAAAGGAAAATGTAAAAAATGTTGGTACGATGTATCCTTGCTTCCAAGTTCCGAACCCTGTCAACTCCTTCTAGAATATCACTATATAGCAATAACAAATTCCTGCAATTCTTCTTTCTTTTCCCCGAACACAAAGGATTGCTTCCCTAAATCCATATTTTTTGCTGGTCCCTTATCATTATAGTGGTTTGACTGCACAGTAAGCTCGAATTTTCTGCATATACATTATTGCGCCAACTCTAGAACGCGCAGAAAAAAATTGTGCAAAAATCAGGGATCCGCATTTTCAAAAACATCAAATCGTGCAGACACAAATTCACCTGGAAAAATACAATAATGATGCACTATACTAAAGTATTT